CTGTTCTTAGTTCTGAATTTTTTGAATGGGGCATGCTTATTTAAGATGGAGAGGAAAGCACGTTTGAAGAACATCCAGGCATCCTCTACTGACGGAATGAGGTCAATATCCATCCAGGATACCCGGGCCAGGTCAATTAGAAAGGCCTGCTCGCTGAAGTGTTTTAGGGAGCGTTTGACAGTGATGAGGGTTGGTCGTTTGACCACGGACCCATTACGGACGCATGCAATGAGGCAGTGATCGCTGAGATCCTGGTTGAAGACAGCGGAGGTGTATTTAGAGGGTAAATTAGTCAGGATGATATCTATGAGGGTGCCCATGTTTATGGATTTAGGGTTGCACCTGGTAGGTTCTTTGATAATTTGTGTGAGATTGAGGGCATCTAGTTTAGATTGTAGGATGGCCGGGGTGTTAAGCATATCCCAGTTTAGGTCACCAAGCAGTACAAACTCTGAGGATAGATGGGGGGCAAGCAATTCACATATGGTGTCCAGGACACAACTGTAGCAAGCGGCAACAGTGAGAGACTTATTTCTGGAAAGGTGGATTTTTAGAAGTAGAAGCTCAAACTGTTTGGGCACAGACCTGGATAGTATGATAGAGCTCTGCAGGCTATCTCTACAGTAGATTGCAACTCCGCCCCCTTTGGCAGTTCTATCTAGACGGAAAATGTTGTAGTTTGGAATGGACATTTCTGAATTTTTGGTGGCCTTCCTAAGCCAAGATTCAGACACTGCTAGAACATCAGGGTTGACAGAGCTTGCTAACGCAGTGAATAACTCAAACTTGGGGAGGAGACTTCTGATGTTAACATGCAAGAAACCAAGGCTTTTACGGTTACAGAAGTCTCAATAACCTCATACCCCTGCACATCGACTCAGTACTGGCTCCCCGTGTATATAGCCAAGTTATCATTACTCATTGTGTATTTATTCCTTGCGTTATAACTTTAAAAAAAAAATGATTTCATATGTGTTATTTTATAGTTTTGATGTCTTCACTATTATTCTACAATGTCAAAAATTGTAAGTAAAAATTAAGAAAAACCCTTGAATGAGTAGGTGTGTCCAAACTTTTGACTGGTAGTGTATGTAAATGTGATATCAGTTTTATTTTATTTTATAAATTTGCAAAAAATTCTAAACCTGTTTTTGCTTTGTCATTATGGGGTATTGTGTGTAGAGTGATGAGGGAAAAAAACAATTTAATCAATTTTAGATTAAGGCTGTAATGTAACAAAATGTGGAAAAAGTTCAAGGGGTCTGAATACTTTCCGAATGCACTGTATATGTACATATCTATCTCAATAACCTCGTACCCCTGCACATCGACTCAGTACTGTCTCCCCGTGTATATAGTCAAGTTTTCGTTACTCATTGTGTATTTATTCCTTGTGTTATAACTTTTCAATTTTTTCAATTTATTCTACTATTTCAATTTCTTTCTCTCTGCATTGTTGGGAAGGGCCCGTACGTATTTGTATTTGTATTTGTATTTATTGTGGATCCCCATTAGATGCTGCCTTGGCAGCAGCTACTCTTCCTAGGGTCCAGCAAAATTAAGGCAGTTCATACAATAAAAATAAAAAAAGACAATACATTCACAGATTTCACAACACACTGTCTGCCCTCAGGCCCCTACTCCACCACAACCACATATGTACAGTACACAAATCCATGTGTACTTGTGTGTATAGTGCGTATGTTATCGTGTGTGTGTATGCATGTGTCTGCGCCTATGTTTGTGTTGCTTTACAGTCCCCACTGTAAAGGTGTTTTTTCATCTGTTTTTTTTATCAAATTTTATTACTTGCATCAGTTACTTGATGTGGTCATACTTCTCCCCATCTTAGCTACTGTTGTATCAATATGTTTTGACCATGACAGTTTACAATCCAGGGTTACTCCAAGCAATTTAGTCACCTCAATTTGCTCAATTTCCACATTATTTATTACAAGATTTAGTTGAGGTTTAGGGTTTAGTGAATGATTTGTCCCAAACACAATGCTTTTAGTTTTTGAAATATTTAGGACTAACTTATTCCTTGCCACCCACTCTGAAACTAACTGCAACTCTTTGTTAAGTGTTGCAGTCATTTCAGTCGCTGTAGTAGCTGACATGTATAGTGTTGAGTCATCCGCATACATAGACACTCTGGCTTTACTCAAAGCCAGTGGCATGTCATTAGTAAAGATTGAAAAAAGTAATGGGCCTAGACAGCTGCCCTGGGGAATTCCTGATTCTACCTGGATTATGTTGGAGAGGCTTTAAAATCCAGTATCAACTGTCAGAGCTGCCCTTCATAATGTCATTAAAACCCACATGGACTACGATAGAATCGATTTCCATGTCCTGACTTAGTACATTCGGGAGCAGCTTAGTAATATCATTTACTCGAGTCTCCGGGATAGGGCATTGTTTTTGCACCAGGAACGGTCACATTTCTTACCATGGAGCTGCCCAAAATCATGGCTGGCGAGAAGGACGAGGAAATCCGCCCACTCCCACGCTTCACAGGATGCAGGCCTCCGACAGATGGAGAAGCCACGCTCGATCCAGAGCAGGGACGGAAGGTTGCCAACGTCGATTTCGAAATCGAAGTAGTAGGCACTGCGGCCGCAGACATAGTCACCCCCAATAACGAAGGTGCAGGAAGATCAGGTTCCAGGACGGCTAAACTATTTGTTGTTTGTATCCGCTCCGGGCCTCTCGTTGGAAGTGTAGACTGCTTTGTGGGAGGTCGCTGTCTTCGGCTTCCACGGCTCGTGACATGTGACCATCGTTGATTGCTTTTCTCCTCATGCTGTGCTCCTTCGACGGCGCTATCAGATGGGAAAGCTCCAGGCAACACCGGCCAGTAAGCTGTTGTTTACAAAGAATGTGACAAATAACATTTGATTTGAATTGTTTTTTGAAGGCACAATGTTTTTTGCTTTTATGCTAACTCCAAAGATGGCCTCAGTCAAACATTATCTTCCTTGTCAAATCCAAAACTAGCTCCAACTTTATCTGTAACCTTTTTTCTGTTTAGGATGAGGATCCGAGCTGGAGCTGTGTGGACTGTAGCCTATATACTGTAGGCAAGGAACTTCTATAAAAACAGACTAAATCAAATAAAGCTACTCTTTATTACTTTGCAAAAATGAATATTCATTGCTTAAGAACATCAGAGGATTGATTAGTCAGTGCTTCATCCATATGATACTACCTTATTGTTTTATAAGTGGCTTGTGGGAAGTTGATATGTCATGAATAACCTACCCATGCTCAGAGAGCATAGCACGGACCAAATCGGCAAGGCAGAGGCTGTATTGTTGAAGAATATGAGAGAAGAATTGTAATTCACACAACCAAAACCTTCCCAAAATAGACTTGTACCCAGCCATCCAAGGTTTCTGCTTTTTTAAATTTTTAAACAGGACTACCTTTTATAGATACACGAAAAGGTCAATAAGCTGAAAAAAAAGAAATTCTCATAAAAGAAAAAAGAACATGATCAAATTAAATCCAATGTCCAATGTTGAGATAAATAATCAATTTGTGTTTATTTATTTGATTTGATTAGGATCTCCATTAGCTGACGCCAATGGCACCAGCTAATCTTAATTCATTTCAGCATATTTATCAGATTCTGACCATCTACGGTATGTAGCACAGTTTCTCCTGTTCATATTGACAATATGCAATCCTTGTTTAAATATCAGGCTTCCTGGAAGTCACACGTCTTGGTTGACTCCCCCTCCAGATGGAACCCTCTTATGAGTTTCCTCTCTATTCTGGCAGCTCCCAATTTGGTACTCCCAGAGCTCCTATTGTTCAATATGGGAATGCTATTCACTTCCTTGATAAAGGGATGATAGTTTCCCTTCTCAACAGGGTCAAAGTTTGTTGGGTGAGAAGGAAAATGTTTGAAGAATTTCTCAATTCATTCGCCTTGAGAATTCAAGGGACGAAATGAACATCAGAATAACAGATGGGAACTGAAATACTCTGTACTGTTCAACACAGACTTTGTGCAATTATGTTTGTGTTTAAAATGCATGTACTAAGGCCAGGCTACATACCTTTCTGTGAATACATAGCGGATTTTCATAAGGCTGGCGAGAAAAATAAAGTATAGGCTATCATAAAAGACAAATGTTAATGAAAAGCTTAATTTTATTCTGAGAAATGGGTCAACTGTACATTTACGGGTTAACGCTTTTCTTAAAAAAAATAGCAATGTGTGTTGAGAACAATACATTTTAAAAGCTCCATAGCAAAATATCTAGCCAACTCTGGTACGTACACTGATCAGTTTAAACAAACAATACTGCCTGTTGCAATAACGTAAAGACTAGAAAAACAAACCACATTTTCAAGTTCACCTTGAACCTAATTTCAACATTTTGTACAAATTGATTTTTGCTGCAAATATCTCACACGCATGTAACTCAACCCCTCTTTCTTTTTTTAGACTCATTGCAAACAGACGGAATACCTGAGCGCGCCATCCCAAAACAACATGTAATCACACTTACAATTAACTATTCAACACTCTGACAGTGAACAGTTAGAATTGTGATTTGTATTGCAGAATGATATTGTCACACAAAGAAACACCATTGTTAGAATTAGGTCCAAGTAGTGGACCATAGCCTGGTCTCAGATCTGTTTGTGCTGTCTCGCCAACTCCTACAGATGTCGGATCTTAATTTGATCACTCTTTTGTTGCACAGCAGGAAATGCAAACTTGTTGTATATTCAAGGTTAAAAAAATCTTCTAAAGTTAGCAATTTCCATTTTAAAATGTGAGACTTGATTTGCCCTAATGAAAAATGTATCATCCCCTACAAAAAATGTCAATTTATTATAATGCACATAATAATTCACATTTCCTGGTGCTGCAAGTTTATTTTCCTGCTGTAGCAAACTGACGCAAATTAAGATCCTACATCTGTATGGTCATTGTTGCAAGACAGTACAAACACATCTGGGACCAGGCTTTGTAAGTGTTCCATTTAAAACCTGGTCTCCGAGCTCCCTCGTTTCATAGTGTTGCTCACGAACTGCTCATCATGTTCAAAGCTGAGGTTATTGTGAGACCTGGAGATCATGAGCAGCTTCTCTTTCTTGGTGTAATCCCGTTTGACTGCTACCTGGGGCAGCTGCAGTCTGTCCATAGGATCGTCCTTGTTCTCCAGCTTCATGTAGCCTTTACTGTTGCTGCGGTCCAGTCGGGGCCAGCTAGGATGTTTCCTCTGCTCTGGCTTCACTGTCAGGGTGGTGGGCCTTCGATCCAGGTCCAGAGACTTGGAGTGAGAAGACAGCATGTAGAGGGAGTTGTTGGAGACAAAGTCCTTCCGGGCCACCCCGGGGGACAGGTAGCTCCCACTGGCAGAACCTGGGGACAGAGAGCTATGAGAGGACGAGGAGTGGGACTCTGTGGCCGAGTTACTCCTGAGGAGCATGACACCAGAGGGTTTGTAGGTTTTGGCGATGTCCACCGGGACAGGCACAGCCAGGGAAAGGGACTGCAAAGAGGGGAGTCTGGCCCTAACCCTCAAGTGTTCCAGGTCCTCTGTGATGTTGTCCATGTCAGGCTCGTCAATCACACAGTTGTTGAGCTTAATGACAGGCAGGGTAAAAGCGCTGATGGAGGACGAGACGATGGATCTGGTCTGGCATCTCTTGGGGAAGTTGCTCTTCTCGTGCCAGTGGCGACTGCCTTCATGCTGCAGGCCAAAGATGGAGCCAGAGCGATCTCTGCAGAATGAAGGCAGGAGGCCATGCCCCCCTTTGGCCTCGTTGAGAAGACCCTCCTCGTCCTCCGTAGAGCTGGTCCTGCGAGACACCCTCACGTCGTTCCCCATATCGGGGAACCCTAGCAGGGTGTCAGCAGCTAGCTTGGAGGCACACTGGTTCTCATAGGTCCTGACCTCATGCTCCCCATATGGGACTGAGTAGGCCCCGTTCATGTACTTGTGCTCTTTGATCCTCAGGCTGTGGATGTCGATAACAGTGGAGTACATGTCCCTCATGTGGATCACCTTGGTCTCCCGGTCCCTGTTTTCGTGCAGGATGGCATTGGCACAGATGAAGATGAAGATACCGATACCCATGGTGAACGGTCCCAGCATCTTCATCTTCTCAGAGTGCAGGTGCTGCTCAAAAAACTGGATCAGCGTACCGCCCTGCTCCCGGGTCACCCTAGTGTCGTTGGTGGATAGCTTGGCATTGGCCGCTACAAGGGGCTCTCTGTGTGGCCAGTAGCCCAGTACGGCCATGACGATGCCCACCATCAGGATCAACACACCCAGGATGAGGAAGAACCCAGAGGCAGAGTAGAGGCGGATTTTTCCCCTGACCACAACCACATCGGCCCGGGGTTTACTCTTGGCCTTCCTCTTCTCCTGGATCTCTCCTGGGGCTAGGGACTGGATGGGCAGGTGGTGCTGGGAGCGGGCAGAGTCCTGCCTCTTCAGCGCAGCAAGATGGCCTGTGATCACTCCCCCAGCTGAAATCATCACTACAGCTGTCTACGGCCCTGTAAAGACAAACAGAGAGGGGGAGTGAGAGGCATCTGGTATGTTTACTGATGTCTGTTCTCTGATTGCTGGGTTGCTGGCACTGTCTTCCTGGTAATCCCACTGTGGGAAGCAGAGCAGCATTGACCTTGGGGTGGCTCCATCAAGCTGGGAACAGCATCTGCAGTTAACTGCTCTCATGCATGCTTTGGTAATTACAACTGATGACAATTATGTTCTAATATTTATTCTAGTCACAGCTCGTAGGAAACAATTCATTTGGCAATCTGGTGTTTTTCCTCTTTGTATTTCATCTCTAAAAAGAAAGGTGGGCATTTCTGGAAGACCAAATTATGATAGAAATGGCTAATTGCTTTATGTTTGTGAGCTTTATGTTTGTGAGATTTATGTTTGTGAGCTTTGTGTTTGTGAACTTTATGTTTGTGAGCTCTGTGTTTGTGAGCTTTGTGTTTGTGAGCTTTGCGTTTGTGAGCTTTGTGTTTGTGAGCTTTATGTTTGTGAGCGGATGACTCCAGAGTTATCTGTAATACAGCACTGCCTTTCCGTTCCAGCTGTGTATCTCTTTCTCTCTCTGTCACTCTCTCTCCTTTCACTCACTTGCACTCTCTCTCTCTCTCTCTCTTACACACACACACACACACACACACACACACACACACACACATTCCCAATTACGCCATCTATTTGTCATCTCAGGAGGATCATCTAATTTCATAATAAAAGGGGTTTTAAAACTATAAGATGCCGTTACTTAGTCCTTACGCAGAGATCTTAAATTAAAGACTGTAGAATTGATTATGACAGTCTGTTAATGGAGATGACTCAGAAGTGGTCTTCAAATATTTTACAGTAAAATCCATCCTCAGCCTACACAAGAAGCTCTGGTCAGTATTCAACCATACATTAATGGGTGGCCTGACTGCACTACACTTTCATATTTCAACATTTGCCAATGGAGCACCACAACTTATAGAATAAATATGTTATATTCAGTTTCCAATAAAACACCTTAAAAGTTCCAACAACCAGGCTGAAGGCAGGAGAGGTGCAGTAACATGGTTGTGACGAGTACTGAGGATACGAAGAGGCAGGACGCAGATGCAGGAATCAACAATGTAAAGGTTTACTTAACACTGAGCATGAAAACAACAAAGAGCGCGTACACGACAAGACACTAACAATCACACACCACACAACACTGAACAGTCCAGGGCTATATAGGGGTGGTGATGAGATGATGAGGTGCAAGGTGCGCTGGAGGTGATTAGGGTGCGTTGGGTTTCCATTCCGGTGTTGTCGAGGTGGTGCGCTCAGACCGGTGGCTCAGTAGACCGGCGAATCTGAGCGCCGGAGGGGAGCAATGGGAGGAGACGTGACAATGGGGCTTTACCAACAGGTGTGTGGAGTGAATCATTAACATAATCTCTCTGTCAGCACTACCAACAGGGTGTTGTTAGTGCAGTGTGGACAAGTTGTTATGTTTACACACCATACTCACACAACACGGAGAGAGTATGTCCCAGAAGCAAACTATAGCTCTGTAGGGATAACATTACAGTGCTTATAGAAAGTCTACACCTCCTTGAATTCTTTTCAAATTTTGCTGCCTTCAAATGTAATCTAAAAAGCATAAATTAGATGTTTTTCCTACAGATCTACACAACCTATACATTTTCAAAGTGAAAGAAAGCTATAGAATTATTTTATTTTTTATAACTGAAATATTATAATTAGATAAGTCTCCACCCCCCTGAGTTAATACTTGGTTGAAGGACCTTTGGCAGCCATTACAGCATTTTCATTAAAATTCTACCAACTTTGCACGACTCTTAGGGCAACATACGTTCACCAGACAGTTTATTAGGTACACCCATCTAGACACATCGAATTGAATCCCTTTTTAGATTACATTTTAAGGCAGAAAAATGTGAAAAAAAAGAGAAAGGAGGTGTAGGCTTTCTATAGGCACTGTAGATATATCTGTAAATCCAAGGACAGTCGTGATCAAAAGTTTTGAGAATGATACAAGTATTGGTCTTCACAAAGTTCGCTGCTTCAGTGTTATGAGATATTTTTGTCAGATGTTACTATAGTATACTGAAGTATAATTACAAGCATTCCATAAGTGTCAAAGGCTTTTATTGACAATTACATTACGTTTATGCAAAGAGTCAATATTTGCAGTGTTGACCCTTCTTTTTCAAGACCTCTGCAATCCGCCCTGGCATGCTGTCAATTAACTTCTGGGCCACATCCTGACTGATGGCAGCCCATTCTTGCATAATCAATGCTTGGAGTTTGTCAGAATTTGTGGGTTTTTCTTTGTCCACCCGCCTCTTGAGGATCGACCACAAGTTCTCAATGGGATTAAGGTCTGGGGAGCGATGTTTTGTTCCCCGAGCCACTTAGTTATCACTTTTGCCTCATGGCAAGGTGCTCCATCATGCTGCAAAAGGCATTGGTCGCCACCAAACTGTTCTTGGATGGTTGGGAGAAGTTGCTCTCAGAGGATGTGTTGGTACCATTCTTTTTCATGGCTGTGTTCTTAGGAAAAATTGTGAGTGAGCCCACTCCCTTGGCTGAGAAGCAACCCCACACATGAATGGTCTCAGGATGCTTTACTGTTGGCATGACACAGGACTGATGGTAGCGCTCACCTTGTCTTCTCCGGACAAGGTGTTTTCCGGATGCCCCAAACAATCGGAAAGGGGATTCATCAGAGAAAATGACTTTACCCCAGTCCTCAGCAGTCCAATCCCTGTACCTTTTGCAGAATATCAGTCTGTCCCTGATGTTTTTCCTGGAGAGAAGTGGCTTCTTTGCTGCCCTTCTTGACACCAGGCCATCCTCCAAAAGTCTTCGCCTCACTGTGCGTGCAGATGCACTCACACCTGCCTGCTGCCATTCCTGATCAAGCTCTGCACTGGTGGTGCCCCGATCCCGCAGCTGAATCAACTTTAGGAGATGGTCCTGGCTCTTGCTGGACTTTCTTGGGCGCCCTGACGCCTTCTTCACAACAATTGAACATCTCTCCTTGAAGTTCTTGATGATCCGATAAATGGTTGATTTACGTGCAATCTTACTAGCAGCAATATCTTTGCCTGTGAAGCCCTTTTTGTGCAAAGCAATGATGGCAGCACGTGTTTCCTTGCAGGTAACCATGGTTAACAGAGGAAGAACAATGATTTAAAGCACCACCCTCCTTTTAAAGCTTCCAGTCTGTTATTCTAACTCAATCAGCATGACAGGGTGATCTCCAGCCTTGTCCTCGTCAACAATCTCACCTGTGTTAACGAGAGAATCACTGACATGATGGCAGCTGGTCCTTTTGTGGCAGGGCTGAAATGCAGTGGAAATGTTTTTTTGGGATTAAGTTCATTTTCATGGCAAAGAGGGACTTTGCAATTCATTGCAATTCATCTGATCACTCTTCATGACATTCTGGAGTATATGCAAATTGCCATCATCAAAACTGAGGCAGCAGACTTTGTGAAAATTAGTATATGTGTCATTCTCAAAACTTTTGACCACAACTGTACATCTCTCAAGGCACTGCCTTATTAGCTTAAGGTCAACACACATGATTTCATGGTGAAAATACTAGATGTCATAATGTTCGGATCTAGAAAAAGGTATTGTTCCCTTGCAGACGGAGAGGAGACTCCTTGGCGAATGGATGACAGTTGTCTGACCTGCTTCTCTGACTAAACCCTGTACCAAGTACCCACCCCCATCATTAGGTCTGGGAGCAGGTGTGGGCGGTGTAGCCTTTTGATGTTGGCTTATCTAAAGTTCTCTATTAAATACCAGGATGAGGAGAAGAGGGAGGCAGGGGGTGGATGGTAGCAATAAAGAAGAGAGTGCAGTTCCTATTAACTTTATATTATTCTTTTTAACCATGTGTTTAGAACATAGAACATTGCTTGCATGCCATGGCTTTGCTCTGTTTTCGAAAAACACAAACAGGAATTTAAATAAGAATATGATGCCCCATGAGGCTATCATAATGATAAACATCAGTGGACATGAAAAGACTTAGGGACCAGTCAAAGATAAGACTGAATAGGTGAAAAACAGATAATAGCGCTGTCAGTTAATATACATTTATGTTCAGTGCTGAGAACAAAATGTTGTCTTCCCAGATTGAAATAACGTGTCAAACCTGAAATAACCAAAATAAAGAAGGAACATAACATATTATCACAAATGCACTTGCTGCTTTGGCAAAGGATTTATTCACTGCAGCCATAGCAGATTGGACAAGGAGGAGGATCCTGGTCAGGGCATTATTGGTGTGGTTGGGGGAGGAGTTGTTCCAGACACAGTGCATAATGTCTGAATAGTGGATACCATGGCATTTTGTGACACTTGGTTGTTCTAAGAGTGAGGAGAGAGAGCGAGAGAGAGAGAGCAGATATAGCTTAACAGTTATAAGTATGTAACAACCTTTACACTGCAGCCTACTTTCCTATGTAAACTACCATTACACTTATTGTGGTAAGAAACATGTTATGTATTTACAAACACTGTTGTATCGAGGTATGATGCCAAGAAAACTCCATGATGATGATAGTCAAATGTGTCAGTAACTTCTAGACGGACGCGAGTGTGTGCAAGTGCGTGGGTTGGCGCTGTTATGGGACCGCTGGTTCCAGGAAAATGAATCATTTGCACAGTAATGCAATACACAATAACATAATCGATCATAACTACATGTGCGCGTGCAGGCTATGTTGCGAGATATGTAAAATCTCAAAACCCCAGACCATTTTCATTAAAAAAAACGCCTATAGCTCGAATAGGGCATAAATAGTAAATGGTTTAAAACAGCTATGAATAATAGGCTGTGGTAAAACGATGGGAAGGAATTTTTTATTCGCCAGTTGTATAATAGAAGAGTAAAGTTGAGAAATCAAAGTGATGAGAGGATATACATTATCTTTGATACGAGCGCAATTGCTCCACGAGACTATCCTGTC